AACAATCCGTCTATTTCTCCTCTACCGTAGCTTGAGGTGGCGAGAAGTCCGACACAATCTTCGACTTCATGCCTGCCAGCGTCTCTTGGAGTCATCAGGTCAGATGTCGCGATAGCTTGGCATGGCTCCACACTTCTGTCAACCTGAAAGGCTAGCCTCAACTGCCGCTTCAACACATCGACTCGACACCCACTTGCCGAGTGTTGGCGTCCAAGAGCCACACCTCGCCGGAACGAACGCCGACGACCACAACGTCGTCCGGCCGCCTCCAACCGGCCAGCATCATACGAACCACAAAGTTGGCCGGACACGTCCTTTCCGGCGCCGGATTGGTGCTGATGGTTCGGCGGCGCGAAAATTCATTCAATTGCACCAACAGATAATGCGATTCGTCCGTTCCCGAGGTTTCGTCACCACTCAACGTCGTCATGTCGACCAACGTGGACGGGGCCAGGATGGTCTTTCGCACGGGCCGGCTTGTCGTCTGCGAGAGTGTGTGCAACTGTTCGACAATGCGCAGACCAATCAGGTCGACCACGTGGATGGAGCCATTCTGTACCGCCATCCAGAGCTCTTTTCGAGGCGCACGATCCTCTGCCTCGTCTCGACCGACGGCCACGGCCACGGCCAACTGGTTGACCACTCGACCGGGCAGCAGAAGGAAGGCCGGCTCCAAGCCGCCGGGGTCAGAGGTCAACAGTCGAAGTGGCCTCGTGTCGCAGGCGTTCCGCGAGACCCTGAAGCCGACCAGACAACTGAAGGCCACTCGATTCCACGAGCCCATCCGACTGGTCACGACTCGACCGCTGCAACAGCACCACACCTCATCATGCAACCGCGACAGCGTCAAAATTTCCGGCTCGTTGAAGTGCATCAACGGACTGGTCCGAGTTGAGCCGGCCGACGACGAGCCGATCAGACAGTCGGACAACAAGGGCCGAATGTGCAGCCTAGCAACCAGAGGGGACGGTCGGTGGGGGGGATTGTGCGCCTGGGCCAGGGCCAAAATGGCCTGTTGCCTGGGTTTCAGTGCCGCCTGGAAACTGTGAAGCAGACCGGCTGTCTGGTGTTCGCGTTGCTCCAGGCCGACAAGTGCGTCCATCACCATGGCCTGTTGGACACCAAACGAATGCAACAAGGAGGCATCGCGCATGGCGTCGGCCAGACGAGCCGCTTCTCGGACGCCCGTCAGCAGATGGTACCAAACGTCGGCGTCATGCAACAGCCAGGCGTACAAATGACTGCGGCTCGGACGCGTCACGGTGATTGCAAGACCGAGACTCGTCGGATCCGAGTCTCGCGGACGCCACACCGACTCGGCTTCGTCGAAGAGTCGGCTCAGGCAGACTGACTCATCTGCCTCCGCTTCCGGTTCCGGTTCCGGTTCCGGTTCCGGTTC